GTGAGCTGTGGCCGCACAGTGTCCCATGGTAGTTAGGGTGCCGTGCGGCCAGTACAACTCACACAAGCAAACAGCTGATAAACTGGCCGCACGGAGGAAATGTGTATGTGTGACTGTCTGCCTGTGACTGTCTGCCTGTAACTGAGTGTGTGACTGTCTGCCTGTAACTGAGTGTGTGACTGTCTGCCTGTAACTGAGTGTGTGACTGTCTGCCTGTAAATGTGTGTGTGGGGCTGCAGGGATTTTGTAGAAGGGGGCGGGGGTTTTGTATTGGGACAGGAGTCTTTACAAATTGTAAAAAAAAAAAAAGAGAACCTTTAAAATTTTTTACAGGTTTTGAGGGGATGGGGGGGGTGCCAAGCACAGGATCCGCCCCAGCTGCCAAATGCTCTAGGTACGCCCCTGCCCGGGGTCCAATGGACAGTGTTCCCTGTCTCCTCTCTACAGCCATAACCACTACAGCTGTACAGCCTTCTTGCAATATTCCCTTTAAGAAATATGGAAATGAATCTATGCTTAGCATACTTTTTGTATCCTTGATTATTATACAATGCATCCTATTCAAATAAATTAGCGCCTCCATTCACATATGATAGGTCAGCAAAAAAGAAAAAGATATGTCATGTGATCTGCACTCCATTTCCCAAACCTCTAGAAACCTCATAGGTAAAGATGTAGGAAGCAAATGTAGTCTGCAAAAGAAAATTACCATGTTTATCTTTCATGTTCCTATCTTACTATGTATTCCTATCTTACTATAGCAGCATATACAAATTAGAAAAGTTGAAAGGAGAGCGAAGGGTGCTCAAAATAAAAATTCTAAATATTTGAAGATAGTGCTAACATTCCTACAAAAACTAGAAGCTATTGTAACTCCTTCACTGCTGAGGCAATGATCACCTTTACTCCCTCATATCTGTATTCCCTCAGACTCCAAAAAGCGGTCGCTGCACTCAGTCCCTCGCTAGTGGTTACCCTAAAATCACTTGGCACCTTTAAAGGGACTGGTAGGGTCTGTCGTGGAGGAAAATCAAAACTTAAAGTTCAATCTCCTGACACTATCACAGCTGCTCCACCACCGTGTCTACCTGCAAGCCCAATTGAAGTGATTCAACCTAGAAGCCACAAAAACCACACTATCAAATCATGGTAACCTCTTTGTGTGATTCCTGTTAGCAGACACCCTGTTTTCAAAGTACAGAGTAAAAACTCAGAATACCAAGACTGTCCTATGAGATCAATCCTGTGCAATGTCAAATCAATAAGGAACAAAACCGCTAATATTGACGACCTTTTTGAAACATGCAAATTAGCGTGCATTATAGAATCATGGCTAGATTAAAATGCAGGGCCGATTCTAGAGGCAGCTATTCTAGACAATTACACAGTGTTCCACCGCCCGAGACAAGATCGCAAAGGAGGTGGAGTTATTATCTGTGTGAAATCATCCTTAAATCCCAGACCAATATCAGTCCACAAACCCCAATCTTTTGAATGCATAGCTGCCAGCCTCTCAATAAATAGAGGATTCTGGATTCTGTTAATATACAGATCCCCACGAGATGGGAAGAGATTTCTTCAGGAACTCTCAGAACTTTTGAACTTTTGACTAGTTTGATCCTTTAATCCTTGAACATATTGGGAGACTTCAACAGTTCGATTGATGATACCCTATCCCTGCTTGGGCAGTATCTCCTCAGCTTGATGAGTGCACTCAGCTTAACACAAATCGTCACCACCTCCACCCACAGAAAAGATCATACACTTGAACTAGTGTTCCAGTCTGGACTAAAAGTGTCACCAGTAACTGTAAATTCAGTTGTTTGGTCAGATCACCACTCCATTCACTTCTCCATTATATCACAGCCAGCCAGACCCCAACCTCAGAGCCTTGTCAAACACCGCTCATTAAAAGGGGTGACGCCATTGGATGTAAAATCACATATGGATCTAAGTGAACTAATGGGCACATGTGCAGACCCCAGCTCCTTTGTCCAACTCTACAACAAAACAATGAGAGAAATCCTAGAAAGCATTGCACCAACACTCATACGCACTGTCAAAACCCACAACAATGCACCGTGGTTTGATAGCACCATCAGAGAAATGAAGACAACAGGCCGAACACTCGAGAGAAAGTGGCACAGTACACATGATCCAGAAGATAAAGCCGCTCTTACCAAACATCTAAATTAATATCAATTCAAGATAACTCAGAATTAAACTCAATTTTTAAGTCACACGAAAATGCACTCTCCCACAATAGACCCAGGCAACCTTTTCGCACAGTTGAAAGGTTCTGCAAACCAGCATGCATACATATCCCCGCCAACTTTTCTCAGGAGATTTGAAATCTTCTTCAGAGAAAAGATTTCCTCAATACGAGCCTCTATCACAGCTACAGTTACACATCAGAACCACTAAAATTGAATGCCAGATTGCCCCAGTTTATGGTCCACTTTTACAAATATGAATATAAAGGAAGTTAAAAGAACCATGCAAAAGTTACACCCTATTACGTGTGACTTAGACCCTGCTCCAACTCAGCTTATATCTGCATGCATTGAAACACCTGCCCCAGCCCTCACAAAAATAGTGACTTGTTCACTAAAAACTGGAAACTTCCCATATCCTCTAAAAGAAACGGTGGTTAAACCACTCCTAAAGAAACCTTTATTA